ATAAAATTTAAATAAAAATGTATATGAACTATTTATTTTGGAATCTAATTTTCATAACTATAAAGTTTAAATATTATATTTAAAATTTTTATTTTAAAGATTTTTCACATTAAGCTTACTTAATAGTAAAAATTTATAATATATATATATTATTACTAATCTACTTTAGAATTACCTATAACACTTTTCTAGTAAACTGTAACTTAACATTTTGTCGCTTGTAATAACAGCTAAACTCTGAAGTCCCAGTTTCGATTTCAGATTTCAGTCAAGATTTAAGATTGAAACTGTTTACACAGATGTTTTCTCACAAACATATTTTATGAAATTATTCTTTCTTATATTTGATGCTGTTAACTATAATTAAATGATAATGAATTAAGTTTCTATGAAACAAATTTCTATTATCACTTTCGGACATCACTGTCTAAACCTTCCCGGACATAAAGTTTTGCCCGCCTAGGTGGTTGATGTATCCCTAGGGAATTGACTTCTATATTTTTTAGCCGTGAATAGATGTTTTTACCTCTATTTTCTAATAATAATTAGTTGACACTTTGGCCAAGTCATCATCTAACAATACCTGATTTTGAGAATCCAATACAAATTCTTGTGAATATTGGAAAACTTATTATAGTCCTGTCCAGTCAGTGATGTAAGGGAACGCACAAAGAGAAAATTTTATCCTTTCATACTTATTGTATAACTTCTGGAAAAACAAAGAAGCAAACAAACATTGTCTCTGTTACAGCACACAATTGTCTTTCAGAAGAAAGAGGTTTTTAGGGAAATACTACTTTTTCGACAGCTTGTGGGACTATTCATCTTTATAAATAAAAGATCTGTTTTTAGCTTTCTTGCGTAGAAAGTGGAAGAGTATTTGCTGATTTGCCACTGTAACGAACTGTAACGAAAATAACTGAATTCTAAATTCTATATAAAAAGACTCTGAATGTTATAATTTTAAAAACATACGTTAAAAATATAGTTAGAATTTTTTTATAAATTGGTAGCACTGTAGATTAGATCGTAATCCTTTACAGAGTTCGTTTGTATCAGTTAATTTGACATGGTTACGTGGTGACATTTTTCTATGCTTGAAGCTAAAGTTACCTTTTGAAAGATTAGGCTTCGAATCGATTTCAGAAATTGGATGCACATTGAAAGATTAAATAGCCTACAAGAATAATCTATGAAGTATTAGGTCAAGTGTGGTATTGCACTCGTTTGGCCTCTGTAAAATAAATTTTTGTTGAACATTTGCTGAAGGGAGTAATGAAGGTCGTACTTAAAGTAGCTTATAAAATATTTATGGAAAGTTCGCCATAGCTGTATTGAATTCGTTAGGGAGGCAAATATTATTTTTAAAAATAATTTTATTTAGTTTAGAATAAATTTGCATTAACATAAATAGAATTTCTTTTATTTTTTAAAAATTTTAATACATAGCTTAAGAATAACGATGTAACATATTTTAATTTTTTTGTTCTTTTAATTACTTTATCAATAATGAAATGAGATACGTAACTAATACTATGTTCAGACACACCTTAATTTCGCAAAAATCTTAATTTCAGCATCGTATCGGCGAAATTAAATTGTTTTTTTTTTCATACAAAATTCAGTTTTAAGTTTAGAACGATATTAAGGAAAATGACGGTATTTTCGTTAAAACCAAAACTAAAATTAAGGGATATTTTAAATGCAACTATCCGTAAGATAAATTTTTAGTAAAAGATAAAGTTGAGATAACGAAAAAGTGATATTTTTTAAAACATATGTCAATAAAACTTGACTTCAATAAAACCGGGAAAATATTTTGAAAGTAGTGCAAATTTTTAAATTTGAATATGTAGAAAAAACTGTAACTGTTATTAATTTAAAATAGAGTGAAAAATAATAATTCACATACCTAAAATCCATTAAAGCTAATAAAACTACTCAAAGTCAACCTTTATAGTTATAATAATCAAATTTTAGATACAAATCGTGTTTAGAACATGTAATTTTTAACATTCAATGTGTAAACAAAAATCATATGATTTCCTTAATTTGGGGCAGCATGAACACTTTCGAAATTAGCTTAATTTCATTTTAACGAAATTAAGAAAATTTGGCTGTCTGAACATAGTATAAAATGCGTTTTTGCTTACTGTTTGACTGATAAAAGCCAAATCTGTTTAGACAATAATATCAATATCTATATATAAACAAATGTTAAAAAGCATTTAATAGATTATATAAAAAAAGAACTTTGATTAATATTTATTTTTATATATTTCATCACATTTTTAATCTTCCTTCTTTAAATGTGGTTTCATTTTTAACATTCGAAATAGTTTTAAATTATATTTTGAAAATGAAAATTTATTTTTATAAATATTAAGATGATAGTTTTATTAACAATAAAAATTGTCTTTTCAAATGATTTTTTTTTTATTTAAAACAATGAACGACACAAAAAATATATATAACACACATCATATATTATATATTTTATGTGCGTACAAAATTTATTTGTTTTACTTGTCATTAACACCAAATAAACGATTCTGAAAATTAATCCAAAGGGACACATATGGAGGTGAACATCGTAAAATCTGTGGCACAAAGATTTGATAAAACAATAATCACTTCTGTAACAAAAAAAAAAAACAAAATTATTTAGTGATATATAATTTAATGGGACCAGTTTGTGAACTTTTATAGTAAATCATTTAAATTTATCTTGCCACAGGAATAATAATTAAATAATATTAAATGTTGTATAAAGGAGTATTCTAATGAAATTTCTGAAGAATTTAATTATTTTAAATGCTCATGTGTGCATAATTTCATAACATTTCAAAATAAATTAATGTTATTTTAAAACAAAAGTTGATGAGATGGGCAGGCATTTACCACAATAACCAATGCTAAAGACATTTGCAAAGAATTTGTCAAAATAAATTTTACCACTGGGGAATGAAATTATGTTGTCAGGCATTTGTGTTGCAATATGCTTCGTAATTAAAATACTTCAAAAGAAATTCCAAAAATAAAAATTTATAACTTTTCAAATTAAATTTTATGTGTTTTTTATTATAAAATATATTTTTTTTATTTTATTTTTGACCAAATTCTTGAAGCATTCCAAAGGAAATACACTTCCTGCACAAATTTTAAAGACAAATTATTGCGCAAGTGTTTTGCTAAGGCCAAACAGGATATGATACAAAATACATGAAGTCAAATAATAAACTCAATACAAATATAAACACTGTTTTCTCACTTGATAAATTAGTAAACTTTGGCCATAACAAGCTAAGAAGTATACAGCAAGTCAGTGCACTAAATAAAAAACAAAAAGTTTTTGAAACAATAATGTGAATAAATATTTGTTGGATATTTTGTTCGTGTATCATATTTCCAAGAGTGATAAAAATATTTTTATTTTTATTTTCTAATTCTATTAATATAATAATAAACTTTTTTATTTGTTAAAATGATGCTTCTCAAAAATATGTTGTATCGTATAGACTTAGTGAGGAGTGTGAGGGAATTGTAATAGCAAATCTATCTCTCTACTGCAACAATCAGAAAGTTATTTAAAAGTTTTCCCAATTCAATATTTGTACAAGTTTCGAGTTAATGACAGCAGAAAAATGTCCTTTTTATTAGGATTTGTTGTTGTTATATCAAACCAGTATTTGATTTTTATTAGTTTATGTGTGCAATGGAGTTCCTGTATTTTTTACTGGGGTCATAAAAATATTTTATTAAGTCAGAACTCTGCAAAACCAACATATCTTTCTATTTTGATTTTTATATGCGAGTATTTCTGTTAAATCTAATTTATGATTTTTGAAACATTAAAATTATTATTGGTATAAAATTTTATGGCATTGCAATTTCACTTAAAATTTTTGACATTTTTATTTAGTTTCGGTTTCCTAGAATCAATAAAAATTTGTTATTTGTTAACATATAAAATTCGATTATTAAATGGTTTTGTGTGTGTATGTGTTTATTACAGTACAACATATACTTTCATTAGATGCAATAAATATAACATTTTTATTTTTAAAATTAAAATTAAAACAAATTTTTTAACATATAATCGAACAGTATTATCTACTTTACCCAGTATTTTCACTGAGCAAAAATAATAATTTGTATTTGCATATAAACATAAATTTTTTTGCAGCTCTCTTCATTTGTGATACTAAAAATTATTACGGTATTACTAACTGGTTACTGTAGATTGAATAATCACTTAAAACAAAGTTAGGCAACCAATTCAACTCAGACTGCAGTACAGTAAAGAAAGGAAGAACACCGCATACCATGTGCTAAGAGAATGCCCGGCAATGATGCACAAGTAACAAAAGAAACACCTAGGAGGGTATTTCAAGGACAATAGAAATTCAAGACTAGGAAAGATATGTGCTATACTGTCTATCATTAAAGAAATCGGACTTGGCGAAACACTCTAATCCGACTAAGGCACAATAGATCTTTTAGGTCGCAATGTACTATTCCTTTTTCTTAATAATTGTAATTTCTGATAATTAATAACATAGAAATTAATTTATTTAATATAAAAAATACATACAAAACATATAGTATAAAAATATGTAGTTAAAATATAAAAGTGAATCTGTGACATATTACAGTTTAACGCGCTGGGTTACTAGCGCGCTTGTTAGTAGGGCCTCTTATTAGTGATTCTGTTTCTTTACATGGTGAATATTGTCTGTATTACCTTAATAGAGTTTTGGATACAAAACATTGGAGATTATACTGATCTAACTACGATTGGATAATATATGCTAACGGTACGAAATATAGAAAGTTCAAGTATTGTGAAAGAAAATTTATTTAACTAGGTAGTTTACACTTATACATTACTTGTACATAATTTGACATTCCATTGAATGAATATGCAGATCGAGAGAGACAGCGTTTTGTAAGATATTAGATATCAGTTCAGATATCTGATAGTTCAAAGGAGGATTTTAAAAAACCGTGGTCTTGCAGTCAAGAAGTTAATATTTCTTCCGCTACTTCTTGGAAGCGAGTGATTATATCATTAAAAATTAGAAATAAATAATGAAAAATTGTATTAAACAAAAAAGTTTATATGTTAAGAGGCTCAAGTAGAAATCAAAATGAATAATAATTATTATTATAATTATAATCATGATTATAATTGTAATTAAAATAATAAT